AAATAAAAAAGAAAAGAAAAAAGAAGAGTGTTCAAGCAGAGATAGCAAAAAGGCCAAGAATGGCATCCCCGATCCAAGGATGTCATCCTCAATTCTAAGGATGATATCCGTGGAAGAAACAGCCGGAGAAAATTGATCAACTCAGACCAAGGATGACATCCCATACAACATCCCAGGTCAAGGATGACATCCTTGGGAATTTATGCTTGTGTTTGTCCCTATAAAAAGGGCGTAAACTTCAATTGAAAGGAGAACCATTCTTGAGCAAAGAAAACCAACTTTAATTATTTTTTTTAGTTTTAAAAGCTATTTATCTTATTGTAGGAATAGTATTTTTCTATTTTATCTTTTCTCCATAATAGAGTAATTTTCTTTGGTTGGGATATTAGATGAAGCCATAAAAGTGTTATAATAATTATCTTAATTTTATTATCTTCTTATGTTGATATTTTCTCTTTATCATCATTATACACCAGGGTATTTGATATTGATTATTTCTATTATTTGATATAATTATATCACTTACTGAAATCTTTATCTTGTTATTTTGTTTCTTATTCGGGAGAAGAGAAAGATTTAAATAAGTTTATTGATTTAGAAAAGGCTAATCGAAAGAGGTTTTTTCTCACTTGGTGCATTCAACTAAGATAATTCTTGTTTGAAGCCATTACTTTAATTGGTTAACTACACTAATCGAAAGAGGTGTTATTAGTCAACTATTGTTTAATGTCACTAACTGTCAATAAATTAATAACATTAAGCGCAGGCGGTACTATTTATATATTGTTGTTATATGGAGTGATGTCTTAGAAATAAGTGATCATTCTTCAAACAAGGTCTTTATTTCACTGTTAATCGACTGACTACACTAATCGAAAGAGGTGTTATTAATTGGTTACTTTTATATAATTTGATTGAATTAGAAATAAGCGATCATTTCATTAAATAGAGAAATAAATAATAAAATTTTGATTTTATTATAATGGTTTATCTTGCTGATTCACAATATCCCAATCTCTATCTTTTGTTATAAAACTATAAATATTTATTGCTTTTATTTTTCTAATTTTTTCAACAACTCTCTCCTTACCAATTTGATTCTCTCAAACGGTGACAGACAATACAAATCTGTAGCCTAGGTGGTTCCAATCTCTGTGGGACGATATCTTAAACTTTACTATAATTTGACAGAGTACGAGCAAAAAAATCATATATGCCCAGAGCTCGTCATGGCCTCTTGAGAAGCTTGGCCAAACAGGCTAACAAACTGCTTATCTTCAAAAGTACTTATTTGAAAAGCACTTTTGGAAAAAATACTTCTCAAAATAAGCAGATTTTTTTAGCTTGGCCAAACAAGCTATTAGTGAATTTGTACATAATATAATGTATCTGTATCATTGTATGTGACTAAATAACAAAGAAGAGAAGAAAGTTCATCAGAGATGGCGTTTTTCGGCCAAGCAAAATACTGTTACATTGTATTAAAACTAAAAATGGAGAAGAATAAAAACCCCGACCCTCAAATCTTCTCCGGCGTAGAAAATATTACAGTATCCGTCGTTCATGTTACATTACCCATGCTCTACTCAGATTATTCTGACATCATTTTTTCTCTACGCGTAGTAGCCCTAGCCTCATAGCGACGATCCCTCCCTGCTATGGAGGAATCTGATTTTGATGAAAAGGTTCGTCTTTCCCCTCTTTCTCCCAACATTTTAGAAGTGTTTTCAATTGCAGTAACCCTAGAAGTTCCGGCCAGAGAATTCACGATTAAAAGCATGTATTTTGCTCGAAGAGAAAGAGAAGGAAGAGATAGAGAAAGAAGAAAAATTATGAGAGAGAATTGTGTGTTAATTGAAAGAAAGAGAGAGGAAAAACATAAATAGCGTATTTCACGCCTCAATTATAGTATATACCATAAATACCTATTTTGCTATAGAAAATAAAATATAAAAGATAGCTATAGAAAATAATATTTTAAAATATTTTTGGTTTATAATAAATAGGGTATATATCTTTGATATAAGAGGTAAAATTTCCTAATTTTATCCCACATGCATAAGCTTGGTTTTTGAAGAAAAAAATTGTCAAATAAAATAAACTATATACAAAATATGTCCTTATTTATATTTCATTCTTTCTTTTTTCCTATTAAAATTAGAATAAGATTCGTAATATGAACCAAATGAAAATACTTTGAATTCAACATTGCCCCTCGTATGGGCAAACATAATAAAAATCTAATTTCTAAAAATCGACATCATATTTACATGGGGCTCAAATAATCGTGAAGATAACTTGCAATGTTAATCTTATTAACGTGCTTGTGGTTGATCGGCTTCTTTTGTATGCCTAACTACATGTAACCACATTAACTTTTTAACATCTAGATATCTTTAATATACTTGTGTGGTAATCACTTGCTTGATCTTAACTTCTCAGTACATAATCCTCCATTTATGTAGAGGCAGCTTAGCCCTAAGGCAACTAAAGCCAAGGCTTTGGGCCCCAACAAATATAGGACCCCAAATATTACTCATATTATATATATAACAAGTATATTTTAAATAATTACTCCTATAATTCTACAATCTAATAAGAGGGAGTTAAGCACACAGTTGGACGACATGTCTGCTTGGGGTTGTAAGGATAATTTGGTCATTTCAGGTAAAATGGAACATTATGGTAGGCTACAAAGGAATATTACTATAGCTGCTATATAAAATTTTGAGTACCTTGACCTTCACTACACACTTCTCACATAGCTTTACTTTGTAGTTTGTTCTCTCCCATGTGGACCCCACGTCCCCTCACTACCTAAACCGTCTCTCAACTTTGCATTTTTCACCCACTCTTATCATTACAATTGTCACTATTTACTAATTGCATACACTTATATTAATCTTTTAGCTCCTGGTTATGTAATTAGTCTATAGTGAATTACCACTATATGTAAATTATGTGACTAAATTTTTGGAAAAGTTTATAAATTACTTTTAAAAAAAAATAATCAAGTTTTTTGTTAAATAACCACAAGTGGCGTAAATATTTCAATAGAAAAAGGAATTTGTGTTCTACTTAATCATATTAAATTTATAATTAACTTGCTTGCTGATAAAAATAATAAGAAAACATTTAGTTACTTCTAAAGTTATCATGGCATTATGCAATATTAAATTACCTCTTTCTGGTAAAATTTATTGTTGCACAATAGCTTAGATTCAATTAAGACTTAATAAATTAAAAATACTTGGAAATATAATCATACTAATTAATTTTTCAACTAATTTCAACACTGAACTATAATGAAGAAAATTGTATTATACTATAAAAATGCACGTAAGATGGGACTAAAAATTTGACAAGGATCAACTTATTAATTTATTAATTTCAAATATTTGATTTATAAATTTTATTTTAAGGTCAATTTGGCTAATTTCTAAAACAAACAGAAAATCAATTCGTTTTTAAATTAAGATTGAGCACAAAAATTACTAATGCAGCTATAAAAAAGAACTAAAACCTCTAAATTTGATTAAGGATGAATATAAATTAATTTTAAATACGGACACTTTACACAAATACCGATGACCAATAGTAAGAAGACAAATGCATACTTGGAATAGAATTAGGAATTCAAGAGCAAGAAAAAATATTTTTAGAGTCAAATGTGAGAAGGAAAAGAGTTTTTTATTTTATTTATTAATATACTTTAAAAAGAAAAAATATGAATTCAAAATGTCATCATATAATTACCATTAATGTTTTGCCCCCTTGAGAATCGGGGCTTGTAATCGCCTCATTTTAATAAAGCTCAATTTCATACTGACTAAGTAATTATATACAAAGATGAATATACCAAATTGTTAATTTACTCAAACTTAATTTCAATAAATATTTTCAAAGAAATATTAAAGGTGCGTATCCGAGTTCAATTGGTTGTGTCCGTGCTAGCACAGGCCAACGCCCATTTAGTTCTTTATAATAGTAAGTAAATCCTTTCAAACATTTGCTATGCCAATAATCATTATGGCATAGTCCAAACATTATGTTATTTTTCAGGGTTAATTTAATTGAAGTATAACAAATGAATGACATACACTTAAATGATCCTCCTCCATTCTTCTTATTCTCTTCAACTTGGATCAATTTTTTACTTTATGGTGGCTTCTGTACATACCTTGAACTAATTAGTTCAATATTGATTTTTTGAACTTATTTTGTAACAAAAGTACTACGAAAAACTATCAAGTAGATCGATAATACTCTAATCAATATACTAATAAAATAAAAGATTGGGTTATATAATATTGCTCATAGAAAAATAAAGATATTTTCCCCAACGGAAAGATATTTTTCGAAAATAAAATTAATAAAACTTTACCTAAGATCAACAATATCTCAAGAATGATTAAATAAATCGGCTATATTATTAATTAGGAAGAAAATATTAGAAGAAATTGATATATTTAATTCTTGATATATTGCCTTCAAAGGCCTTTAATAACGATTCAGTTTTAGGCCCCTTATTCCATCGAGCAGCCATTGGATTTATGTGTAGTCGTTGAATCATCTAACTTGCCTTTTTTTTTTGCTGTTCTTGAGCTTCCTCCTTCACTAACGATCTCGATTTAAGTTTTAGAAGAACGATTAAAAAGAAAGAGAGGATAAATAAGAAAAAAAAAAATTTGTAGACGAACCAAAAATAATTCTAGCACGCTTCTGAAATAATAGAAATTATGACCAATGACCTTGAAAATCAATAATCTTGATTTTTGACCTTTGCTTGTTTCATGGTCAAAACTTTAAAGTCAAAAGTCAAAATCGTTATTCATGGGACAATTGAGGGATAATTTGAAGTTATGCGCATGTGGCAAGCGGGGTCAAAAAATTAATAGTGTTACCAAAGTTTCCTATTTCTGCAAATCACCCATATTCAAAGCCCAATCCAATAGAATTGTTCAAGCCCAATACCCCTTCCATTTCTTCACACATCATCAGTGACTGAATCTGCAATCTCCGAGCTAACTGTGATTCGGAAGCATCTTTATCACACTTCCCTAACGCGCTCGACGAATCTCCTGATGAAAACCTAGAAATTCGAGGTCGGAAAATCATCGGAAGTATAAATCATGGCCGCGATCGGAGTAATGCCGGAGATTAATGGCCTAAAACAGAAAAGCCGAAGGTTTTTCACTCTCTTTCATCCTCATTTCAGCTTAAAAAAATTGCGAAATGATCCGTGTTAAATAATGAGAATAATTGCTCATGTTTTGTTTGTTTGTTTGTTTGTAGGTCAGCTGTAACACTAATTCTGACGGTTCTCACGAGTTCACAATCGATACTCATTGTGTGGTCGAAGAGAGCTGGAAAGTACGAGTACAGTGTAACAACTGCTAATTTTCTGGTTAGTGGAATGGAAGAACAGTTAATTTTCTGATTCTTAGTGTTGTTTTGAGTTTATAGTCGTAAACTATTGCCCAATTGTTACTTTGTTGTGTAATTTGACTTAAAGCTTCCATGTAATTAGGTAGAGGCATTGAAATGTGCATTGTCTCTTGCGGCATTGGTAAGAATCTGGAGAAAGGACGGCATTACTGATGATAACAGGTTTGTAACACTATTTTTATTGTTAAATTTCAGTTTCCAGGGGATACAAAGCTGAAAGTGCTAAATTTTGCCCATTTTTTTTGTGTGTTATAAATTTCTACTTGAGCGTTGCAAGCATAGATTTCGGGATAGGAGAATATATTGAGAACTTATCATACTTTTTTAATTTATTTTGTATAGTGTTTGCTTGAGATGAATTTAAATGGAGAAATCATATATCCGATCCTAACTTGTTTGAGACTGAGTAGTTGTTATTGTTGTGATAATGGTGGTGTTTGGACCAATTTGCGCACACCTCGGCTATTCCGCCGAATACCTGCTACTTTCCACCAACATAGTATTCGAGTAACTCTACTTACCATGGCTTGGGCAGATAATCACCTGGTATTTTTTGCCTTTGCTGGGATTTGAACCTTGGTTTCTAAGGTTTGTACTCATTTCGTTGACCACTAGGCTAAACCCTTGGCTGTTGTGGAAAATGCATTTTCACATATTAGTAAACTCAGTTGGATACCCTACCTTGTAAGATCTTAGGGGAATTTGCACACAAGGCTCATGGTTAACTTAAGCAGATTTTTAGATCCAAACTTTTGGTGTTTATTCCATCTTACTGTTAGACTTTTCCTATGTATATGAATTAGCTTTGGTTTCATTGAACCATTTACTATTAGCTTTTAAAATTTTCACTGTAATCTGTATATCAACTTATGACTAATGAATAACAAAATAAGTTACTCCTTTGGAAGATTGCCTTGGTGGATTAACACTGCAGACCGTCAAACATTTTTATTTAACTTGTCTGTTGAATAAGAATTTAGATACTAAGGTTTGTTTTCTGTTAAAGAAAAGGTTGTTTTCTGTTATAAAAAGGCTAGTTCTTTTCTCTCATAATCTATTAATCTCTTGCTGTTTTTAGGTTGAGCACTACGTGGGATGAAGTTAAAGTGTATCCCATTCCCGCTGCACTTTACCTTGTCAAGAATCTACTTCAGGCAGGTTTAGCTTTCTCTTTGGTTATTTCTTCTTTTTTAACTCCCAAACTTGATTAGTTCTTCTATCTCACATGTTTATTCGCATATAGTTGATTGAAATCGCACGGGTCTTTGCAGTATTACATTTTTGCATACGTAGATGCTCCTGGATATCAGATACTGAAGAACTTGAACATTATCAGCACCGGCGTATTGTATCAAATTATTCTTAAAAGGAAGTAAGTCCTTTCACTAATTAAGGGTGTCATATGGGAACACACCGCATAGGAGAGTAAAAAGTTTTCTGTGTTTCCATATATATGGTGTGCATCTGTTTTGTTTAGGGATGGGAACAGGGTGGCTATGTATCCCCTTAGTTTCACTTTGATTTGTCAACGAAGGAGCAGTTAACACTCACTAAAGCCTATACAGTTTGTTGCGCCATGTCTGGGAGTTGAGTTGATTCTTGGTAGACTTTATTGTTTATAATATTAGGATTAGGGGTATATCTATCTATCCTGAAACCTTGTACCGCAAGATTGTCCTGCACTGTTTTCTGTAGGGTGGATTAACTGAAAAAGCTTGTCCTTTTATGAAGTTTGAATTTTATTCATGTAACGGAAAAAGTGAGAATCTTAAATTCTCTATGAAATGCATTTGTCATCAAGAATATTGTATGTATCCCAAAACTGTAAAAACAGAAAAAGGTTCCACTAAAGGCACTCTTCAAGGAAAAGCTTTTCTTATAAAAAAGAAGATTTAAAAGACTGATATGACTATAGGAAGCTGGTAATGTATGTGGTTTTTCAAGGTGACTGCGGGTATGGTACACTGTGTCATATTTCTGGATAGTATTTTAAGAATCTGCTCCTAATTGTTTACCTATTTTGATCTTCTATTTTTTGTCACACTCAAAGCAAGATTGGCTTTCAGGTTAACTGAGATTCAATGGGCTGCTTTCATTCTACTGTGTGCTGGGTGCACCACTGCACAACTTAATCCTAGGTGAGTTTAACATAGTAGTTTCCGCATCTTATCTCTGGAACTGCTTATATGGATGGATAGCTGTATAGATTTTTGTGTTTCAGCCTGGAGGATAAAAGATGAGAATCATGGTTACTGCTTTGTTCTGTTGATTCTATATGAATGGAGAAATGAAATATTTTGACGGGTTTCTCTAATGAATGATGCTTTCTGTACAGTTCTGATCATGTTCTTCAGACTCCTTTGCAAGGTTGGGTTATGGCTATTGTAAGTTGCAGATATTCCATGGGACTAAAAAATATTAAGGTTAAAACAAATTCTTCTGATGGTTGAAATACCTCGTTGTTTGATTTCAGGTAATGGCCCTTTTGAGTGGTTTTGCAGGAGTTTACACAGAGGTACATCTTTTCAGATATGTTCTATTAGATTAGTAGTTTAAAGATATGCACTTAATGACCTCAGAACTGCTTCTGAATGATTTTGCTTTACTATAGTTATGCCTGTTTACGTAAATTTTGAATTACCATCTCAGGCTTCGTCAACATAATGGAAAAATGCTCATCGTAATGTTAAAGTAAACTAGACTCAGATACTATGTGCATAGTTTTGTAAAGTAGACTCAGATACAATGTGCATAGTTTTGTTTTAACTTTGCAGGCTATAATTAAGAAGCGACCTTCAAGAAATATAAATGTTCAGAACTTCTGGTTGTATGTCTTTGGGATGATCTTCAATGCTTTTGCAATAATGACTCAAGATTTTGACGCAGTCATGAATGAGTAAGTTGATAGCACTCCTTTCTTTCACTTTACAAAGTACATATTTGCATTATGCGCTGTTTGTAACAGACAATAGCTCTTCTTGAAAGGACAAGTATTTCATCAGATTGGGGTTTATATTTTGTGATCTATGTAAAGTTTTACAATTTGACCTTATCTTCTGCAGTGGATTTTTCCATGGATATACACTGATTACGGTTCTCATGATTCTCAACCACGCACTAAGGTTTGATATCCTCTAAGTCTTCTTAGCGGTAGTTTATACATTTTAATATTATGGATATGTTGTCTAATAATACAAGATCATTGGGAAGTACTCTTTTCTTGTGCTAACTATTTCATGTTACCGAGGCATACATTTATTTGGAAAATCTCCGTGTTTTGCAGTTGCTTAGTTGAGTCGTTTAAGTTGTTCTCTTGATGAGCATTAAGTTAAAGGAACTATTGTGTCTTGGTTGAGTTAATTGACATAAAAGATACTACCCACTAGGTAAAAGCTGCCATGCTGCTTTTTTCCTAAAGTGTTTGTTTACCGTATTTGCTCAATGTACTGTCATTTTAATTTTATTTTTTTTGTCCCCGCATGTGGGAATATATTGGGTATATTGTTGTTGTTGTACTGTCCTTTTAATTTTTTATATTGTGCACACTCATCCTTATTGTGTTCATTTGCAATCCTAGTTAAGCATTCAGTATGATTTGCTTATATACTGAAAACCATTTAACTGCCCCTCCAATTTAAGCTGTTTACTGGGTTATGTGGATAGAGTAACTTTGGGTGTAAGCCTCTCATAGGCTGCATTATTCCGTTTTTTCTTTTGCGTGTGGTTTTTGATCTAACATTCTGTTATTCAACTGTTTTAAATTGGATTGATTGCATCATGGATAAGCAGTTTTTCTATTGTTTACTGACCAAGACTTGTCTCTGCAGTGGTATTGCAGTATCAATGGTGATGAAATATGCTGACAATATTGTGAAGGTAGGGATGACATTCTACATTTTATCTGTTTGTGCATCTGCATTAGTTTGCGTTAGATGGGTTCATCAATCTAGTGCTAAGCATCGTACGCCAGGAGATCATCCTTGAATATCTATGTTGTGAGCACAATGTCTGATATGCTTTATCTTTTCCTAGGCTATGTTGCTTTTCTAATTGAAGAGTAGAGCAATTAAGGTAAACTGGACTAGAGGTCCCACTCCAGAAATGATGCACACTAAGCTGCTAACTTATTGCTTGATATGTAATTACAGAGAAAACAGACATGCCAAAATATTTAAGATATCGCTAGAAATTTAGGGCAGCGGTTAGGCAACTAATTTTTGGAGTGCTAAGACATTGTTTTAATCAGGCATGAAGTTTAGCTACCATTTAAAGAGCCTCTTAGATTTCTCTTATGAAGTTCTAGCATCAAGGATGTACCCATACCCACACATCTTCAGGGTATAGAAATGACTGGTGCAGTTGACTATGAGACTTGCTCTTCCTCTTCTTTAGCTTTAAGTTGGTGTGCTTTCGAGGAGGTATAGCTATCCTTTCGGCTAGTTTTTTCTCCCAAGGCCTGTTGATTTGCCGACCAAGTGGTGGACATTTATCATATGCAGGCATCGGACAATCTTTCAATCAGTGGCGCCGCAAAGAAAGGACGGAAATTTTAGTCTCTCGCACACACAATCTGCTTATGAACTGAGAGCTTGCAAGATACCATTTTAATATAGCTTGTAATTGTTTGCAGGTCTATTCAACTTCAGTTGCAATGCTACTGACTGCAGTTGTTTCTGTATTTCTATTTGGATTTCACCTTTCCCTTGCCTTTTTCCTTGGTTCCACGTAAGTATGAACATTTGTTTTACTTTACCTTATCAAAAAAAAGTGTGAAGGTTTGTTTTACTGCTTCGTTTTAACCCTTGGGGAAAATTCCACAAATTTGACAAGGCACATAACTGAAAAGAATTTTATGCTTCTTTGCAGCGTTGTTTCAGTAGCAATATATTTGCACTCGACTAGCAAAGCCCGAAGATAACAATTGAGTTCATCTTCTGGGTGTTCTTTCTTGCCAAAATTGTAAGCGCATAACTATTTATCCTACAACAGCTTAAGAGTTGGCCCTGGATTTATCCTTGGAATGGAGTCGGCATTTGAATTTGGATACTTTTGATCAAGTACTAAAATCCTGCGTATGGGCACTTGCAAGGTGTTGTTTCAATCTTGAATTCAAATAGCAGTGCTTATTGCCCCAGGAAAGGGATTCGATATGTGCTGAAGATGTTATTAGTGCAAGAAGTCCTGGACAGTCCACTTTGTAACACGATACATTTGACGCGATGCATAATTTCATGAACATTTTTTTGCTCTTTCAAATGTAATTATGGACTAGTTGGTATTGTAATAGCAATTTGGGCAATAATGTGTTTGTACAATGTCCGTTGATGTTAATACTTGTTTTGGTGTTAATTTACATAGTTGTGTCACGATTCATCTTACATCCAATATTAGACCATCCAAATCACTTGTGAAATTTATTGTAATATGCAATCGTGCATAAAATGGCTCAAGGGGTAGGCTAGTAAAGCCTTTGTTTTATGCCCCAAAATTTTGAGGCCCCCAAAAAATTTAATAATATATTTTATCATTTTTTCGCTTAGATAAATGAAGCCTATAGATTAAAAGAAAAAAAAAATGAAATCTTTATTAAAAGAGAAAGATTATTTTCTTTTAATAGTAATTATATTAAAATTTTAAATTAAATTACTCAAATCTTCATATTAGCAAATAAGATTTTTTGTTAACAATATTCAAGGTAATATATTACAAATAAATGGCTAATATCTTATTAACATGAATTAACCTTCATCATTATTATTATTATAATAAAATTATTATTACTATGTGAAATTGCCCCTCCGGGGTAGGGGTAAGGTCTGCGTACACTCTACCCTTCCCAGACCCCACTAGTGAGATTATTACTGAGTTGTTATTGTTGTATGTGAGGTTAAAGGCTTAATGTCTTTTAAGACTATTATCATATAAATAAATAAAAAAGGTAACATTAAATTTTGTATATTTATATTCAATTNACTGTATGCTCTGTCTTACAAGTTTTTGCAATGGAGATCATCTTAACAAGACTCCATTCCCTGTCTTCTCCATCTTTTCTTCACACTATCCATTTATATGAAAAATATTGAATAAAATATTTAAGTTTTGAACTCATATATTCAAAGAACGTAGAAAGTTTGAATCCTAGATCTGCTGATATTAATAGCTGAACTTCTCATGGAGATGGCGAAGATCCAAAACTATGCCCTCTACAATAACGTAACTCCAAAGAAATTTGCCTTTCAAGTTTAAGTTGCTTATAGAAATTAGCTATAAACATTTCAGCTCTTTTATCAATATCATCTTCTGATGATGGATAACTCATAGTTCTTTGAAGTCCTTTAAATGAATTAGAACCTGTACCTGAATTATTTGGACTCAAATCATCATTCTCAAAACATATTACATTCAATCCTGTTGGTTGTTTTTGCAATTTCTTCTCTTTGAAACTCAATTGATGTCTTTTTGAAGATGCTCCAATCAAAGATGAAACTAACTTCCATTTGTTCATATCAAGATTCAGCAAAAAAGTTATCTTTTTTACTGCCCTCTTTAGCCTTCCTATTAAAGACCAGCTCTCTGTCCCCATTTTCTGAGCCAAACAAAAAACAACTATTCTGTTTTTCTTGTTGTTGTTGTTGTTGTGGTGATTGCTTTTTGTTTCCTGTTTGTTTGTGTGTTTTTTTTCTACTTGTTGCAGAAGAATGTAGAGAAATGGATAAAGGGTAGTTGCTTTTTGATATTGTCTTGAGGGTTTTATTGTTGGGGTTGGTAGGAGTATGGGGGGGTGTGTATATATAGTTGGGCAGAGGTAGACAATAGTTGGGCAGAGGTAGACACTGACTCAGTCATATTATGGGGCATTTGCAAAAATGACCATTTTTATGCCACTATTTTAATTTTGTCATCAATAATCTAGGGAGCTAAA